ACTCCCCCATCCTTTCACTCTCTCTCTTCTCCCTCTCTAATTTTATGAGGTTGTATTCAAAACTTCCATCTCCTCACCATATTCAGACTGTCACCATAAATAAAGGCCTGCATTAGTGTGTGCGAGTGTGCAAAGAAAGAAAAAGAGACAGACTGTGACAGGGAGATATAAAGCGAGGCGTTCGGGAGAGAGAAGGGCCGAATGTTTTTTGTGACAGTGACATATTTACTTGTATGGGTTGTGTAAGAGTATATGTGAAAATCTATCTGAGCCCGTGTCTGCAGGTCACAGATAACGACAGTGTGACCGATGGGGTTTATAGACAGTGAATGTGTGTTTGTGCATGCTGTACCCGAGGGTAGTGTCTCTGTTGTCAGGCAGGAGAAGAGCCGTCTCCTCTCCAGAGCTGTGCCCTCCTGACTGAGCGGCCTCATACTCTTCCTCCTGTAAAACACACACGCAATCACATGCTCATGAATAAAGGGCCTATTCACAGCAAGTCTGAAGAACGAGCACAACCAGATTTTTAAAACTGCATAGTGCAGTGAACTACTTCACACTGAGTTTGAAATATTATGATATCATTCTGATGTTTTTTTTTTTTACCTGAACTCTACAGGTTTTTTATTAGTCAGTGCCAAAAAAACCTTGCCAACAATTCGGAGAACTAAAAAAAATTGCCATCTGGCTCGATGCATCTTTGTGAACTCCAACACACTGAGCCTGAAATATTATTCTGAAATATTATGTAGTATTATTTTATTTGGATGATAGGTTTATTCTTATTCTCTGTTGAGATGTATTTTGTTTAATGTGCATGTTAAAATCATTAAATTTGAATCCTAAACAAACTCAAGCAGACAGATATTATTATAGCTTAAAACATACAATAAATCAAAATGAACAACTGGCAGGAGTTTTTACCAGGGTAGGGTTGCACCAGCCATTCGTAAGATCTTATGTAAATTAGAACGTTAAGTCCACACTAGAGGCTTAGTAACTACTAGCTAGTTTGTAACTAAATCTATACATTATTCAGTTGCACTAGTTCGTAAGGCAGGACGTAGCCAGTAGTTCGTAAGCTCTCCATAAAGTAATGTGTAGTCGCATAATATGACGTTTACCCTAAATGATCCAATAGAAGCCTTCAAATACGCGAGCATAACTTGTTTATTAAATGCTGTGAATTTCAATTTATCCTTCATTCTTACTTCTTTTGCCTCACACAACTATCGGTAAAATAAGTTTCCATTAAAAACGATACTACTTAATCATGAATAACGTTAGCCTATAGGTAAGCTATGTAAATAATATCCAGAAACTGTAATTGAAATGAAAAAGGATCAATAAATACTGAAAGAAAAAATAAACATAAGAAATGCCATTTATTTATTATGGCTGATGTCACTTGACATGCGCATCCTGACCGGGCGCTTCTGTAAATATTTAGTTTATACATAGAGTTACGCTTCAACTAACTGTAATGGTGCAACGAAAAAATATTTAGAAGTGCATAAGTTGTAACTTAGTGCCCGTCTACGTCAAAACTAGGCTAAGTTGTAACTTGCGTACAGCTGGTGCAACCAGCCCCAGGAGTTTAGAGAATGTTAGCTTATGAAAATTCATTGCATTTATTTATGTTTTATATCTGGGGACCCCAAACACAGCCATTTTTAAGTAATATCTTTTATAAAGGATGTTGAAATTTTATCAAAAATCATTTAACATAAGATTACGGAAAGTTATGATGTATCAACCTCACTTCTCAAACAGAGCATTTAGCGTTCAGATCCCCAAGAAAATCTAATTTTACTTAAATTTGATATTCAGAGTTGATTATTGTTTGGATGATGGAAAAAATCATGGGTTCGATGCCCAGGAAAGGCAAAAATCGATAAAATGGGTACCTTCAATGCAATATAAATCTTTTTGGATTAATGTGTCTGCCAAATGCATAAATGTAAATGTAAATAACCAACCTGTGTGCCAAATTTTCCCTAAATATTTTCTATGTAGCCACAAATATCATTTATCATTTTTGGAAATTTGGAACTTGATAATAACAAACCCTCACCGACTCAGAGCTGTGAGCATGTGTGTGAGCACTGGGCTGATGTGGAGATGAGAGGGGTGCAGGTTGGTTGATGACCACCGCGTCCATGCCCGAGGGGTGTCTGGGAGAAGGCGGAGGGGTGGCCGGGAGCAGCAGGTCGGCCTGGGGCTGCTCGCACAGACTATAGTGGTTCAGAGGACCAGAAGAGTGTGCGTTCTGCAAGGCCTCTGGGTTCTCATCCTCAGAATCAGACAGCAGTGGGCTTTCTGCACAACCTGAAACCAGGAATAGCAGATAAGCTTGTCTATGGCTGTCCAATTAGAGCGCAAAACGCATGTGCATGCATGTCAAACAGACGGAGTGCAATACAATTCGAGCACAATAATTCTAACTAAAAGATAAGTTTTGCTAAAATATTTGGCAAAGTGGAAGAACTTAATTTACAACATCACAAACTGCAGTACAAAGAGTGTGTTGCAGCAGTAAATACTTTTTTATTTAATGAAAAAGACAGTTTGTTCAGTAAATCAGTTTAATAAAAAAAAAGTAAAAAAAGGAGTTGTATTTTTTGTTAACGTAAATGCACTGAAGTCGACGCTGCATTCATGCAAAAGACCTGTCTGCGATTGGTTACAATGTATTTTTTGCAGTGGTTAAGCAATGCAAATATATTTTTTTTCATTTATTGTGTAGTCCTACTGCTTAGTATGATTTCCTGGTTTGCATAACCAAAACTGTTGTGTAATGCTGCCTTTTCAGGGCAGACTTTTCACTATCAGCATAATGTCTGATAAACTTTGAAAGTTATACTGGCCAAAAAGCTGTTCATCTTTACTCCTAAAAATTTTGTAACAAACAAATCATATTGCAGCTTGCCATTTGCCATTGTGGGAAAACTTTCCATTTTTGCACAAAATATGTCAGGTCTGACTGAGCACTCTGAGGTAAAGATAATGTGTCTATAATAAAGCAGTGATATATTCCGATGTTGTGTAGTATGGCAGAGTTGTGTGTGCGAAAGGTGGGGTTGGTGTGCTGTGTTGTACGGTGGTGAAGTCTTGTCATTGTGCAGGGCCGTATAACGCAGTGGTGTGTGGCATTTTATGATGTGGCTGTCTGCCGCCTGGAGTTTCTGTGGTATTGTTGTGTGAGGGCAATAAAGACAAGAGACAGACCCACAATAGTGTCGTTGTGTAGTGATGTTTGTATAGAATTAAAGAAAGCTCAGTGACTCACTGCTCTGCAGCAGCACCGTCTCACTCCATTTAGAATCGCTCAGCACCTCCAGCCTTCTCTCCAGCTGACGGCTGTACTCCATCACTTCCTGCACACACACACACACACACACAGTTAACAAACCTCACATTGTAAGATAAATTAATGTTACACTGTAATGTTTAAAATACCATACTGTCCATCATCCTCTTCCTAAACAATGGGTGTCTTAACAGGTCAGATTTCAGTAAATAGTTGGTACTTTGCTTGTTAGGGTTGCATGAAATAGGAAATGTAAGGGTTTTTGTTGTGATTGGCCCGATACCAATGTGAACACAATACAGCATGACCAGTGTTGTGTGATTACTGAATAACTAAATATTTTCAAGAAGACTTATCAGCATTATTTCTGTTTTTAGTGTCATCAGGACAAATACACATCTATGATTACCTCTAAAATCCTGTTTGTCCCAGACCATGCATTTCTGAGTGCACTCATCTTAAGTATACTTAGTTTTTATTTGCAAAGTTTTTTTTTTTTGTTAGTTCATTGTTACATCCATTTGCAGTTTCCTTTTTTTCTAATTTTCTGTTTTCTCAGTACAGCTATAAAGAAAAATTATAGTAATTCCTTAGGAAACTGGACACCTTATTTCTGTATTTAAATCCCTCATCCCGCTCGGCTGCTCAGGTTCCCATGTAAGTGTATTTACTATGTGGAAAATTGCTTTAAACCTGGAGCCCAGCACTGTCAGACATTCAGAGAGCAAAACATAGAGACTGCTTGCATCTGGTATTTAAGACTGGTACAACAGCATGTTTCTGCTATGCCTTCAGGCTCATGTGAATGAGATGGTTGTTTACCAAGAAACTGTGTAAACTTTGTAAACTTGTTGGATGACCTGTGAGAACTTTTGAGATGGCTTTAATAAGAATAAGACAGAACTGAGCACTTGAGAGTTTTGTGAGAACCGCAGAGAACTTGCCTGTATTTCTGTCTGCAGCTGCTCCTTCTCTTTCTGAGCCACCCTGAGACTGGCCTTCAGCTCCTGCAGCTCACGACGAGTCTCGCTTAGCTGAACCTGACCACACAATCACAAATTTCACAAGAGTACCAGAAACCATAAGAGTACATGTCTTAAAATATTTAGATTACATTACAAATGTAATTCATTCCTCAATTTACATTATATAAACATGTAAATGGTCTAGGTTATTCTAGGTCACTAAACAAATGTAAGCAAATATGTGATATTGACCATGTTAACTCTTACAAAGTGCGCTGTTAACACTGTTAAACAGACAGGACTAAAATCATATTGACGAAAACCACTGCTCTTCATTAATTTCTGTTTTATTACTGACTGTTTACTTAGTTACTTGAAAAACTTGAAACTATGTTTACTTGAGATTGGGCTACATTGTCATTGTTTAAAATAAAATTTGTTAATTAAATTAATATTTTAAATTATTAAATAAAGATTGTTCATTAGCATGTTAGCTTTTGCAACAAAAATGGCATCAGTAATCATGACATTTACCTGGTTTGGTATTGTCTAATGACAACTGAACATTTTTTCTATCATTTTAAAATATATATATATATATATAATTATTATTTATGACAATTGCACATTAACCTTTCTTTCAATGTACTCAAAACTACACACTTAATTTAACTAATCTAATATGATTAAAAACTTTGACCATATTCAACTAAAAATGTCTAAAATAAAGACAATGTGTGACCACTTACATTAAAGACAAAGTAAACACTGAATTTAAGCTCTGATCAACGTTTTGCACTTCCACATTTACAAAAGCCTTAGCTTTCAATTGGTTAAATTCTTCAACTTTTTCATTTATTACACCTATTGATTATTAATGGACAATTCATCACTTTTTAAAATCTAAACATCCCTGCCTCACTTACATGATTTTCCACAGAGAGAGCCAGAATACTCACAAAATGGGAAAGATTGCATGTGCCGTTGTAGTGCTGGGGATTGTATTGCTAACAGTACAAACAGTTCTAGGCATGGTAACAACAGCAGCTTCAAAAACAGCAGTACCTGCAGGAGAAGCCGCGGTTGCAGCAGCTACAACAAAGGCGGCCTCTCCAACGGTAGTAGCTGCAACAATGGTGATCTCTCCAGCGGTATCAGCCGCAACAACGGTGGCCTCTCCAGCAGCAGTAGCCGCAACAACGGCAGCCACTCCAGCAGAAGCAGCTGCAACAACGGCGGCCGCTCCAGTGGTGGCCTCTCCTCAGCAGCAGCCGCGACCGTGACGGCTTCTCCTCAGCAGCAGCAGTAGCTGCGGCGGCCGTTCCTCAGCAGCAGCACAACCGCGGCGACCTTTCTACAGCACAGCCGTAACAGTGGCGGCCTCTCCAGAAGCAGCAGCCACCACAACCGCAGCCTCTCCTGCAGCTGTAGCTGCTGTCTATACAACGCCTAGAACTACTTTACCATCCCCAACACTACAAATAAACATGCAATCTTACATGAAAAACCAATCAACGAATTAAAAAACAGAGAGAGCAACAGAGGTATGGTATGGCTAGGAGAGCATAGATGGGCCGAATATTTAATAGACCAGGGAAACGTCTGTGGGGCTTATAATAAGTAAACGGGGCAGTGTTTCATTTAATAGGCCTAATGGTGAATGAAGCTCAAGCAAGTGAGAACCAGAGGCGACATCAATTTCCCTGACTCTTCCAAGCACACGACTGCAGCGTCCCCGGGCCCCTCGTCCCCTTTGTATCCCCATGGTGCCGACCACTCAAACAGCGACGACCTTTAGCACAACTGGGCAGCTCTCAGGTGAGGGTGGTTCAACGTCCAGCTGTCACGGCCGTCATTGGATTTCCCCGGGTCATTGGAGACCGCTGGCTCGAGGCCCCACAGCTCCAAATGGTTGGTTCCGTCGCACACGGAACCCCAAACAGAGTACTTGACCAAAGTGGCCTTCTGTGTCAGCCGGCATGGTCGAGTCCTCACCCGGTGCCCAATTGCTGATGATGCGCTGCGTGTCGTCACCAAAGATACGAGGACAGAGGCGTAAGAGACCACACACAGCCAGTGTCGGGCAAGTCAGGCCAAATTATTAAATTAAGCGAGTGGGTAATGTAAGAGGAAAGAAGACGAGGAAAAATGAATGATAATAAAATAAAAGGAGATAAACTGAACATAATGAATAAAATAACAAAAATAAAATTAAAAACAATGAATTACAGGGAGATAGAGAGAGGAAATCCGACCAAGCTGAGATTGGGTTTCAACTTACTTTAATATCTAATTATAGAAATGCAATATGTGTATATATGTATGTCAGGTAGTTATTAGTTAACAGAAAGTAAACCAGTCCTCATAAACTTGGGAAGCACAGTGATAAAGATAAAGACAGTTAGTCTGTCATGATGAAAGCTGAAGACGAATTCAAGGTATTTTTGAAATTCCCTGAAGTAATGAACCCCATCAAACTCGAAGCTATGAATGAAAGCTCTGTGAGAAATACACCAAAATTTGAGAAAAATGAATGATAATAAAATAAAAGGAGATAAACTGAACATAATGAATAAAATAACAAAAATAAAATTAAAAACAATGAATTACAGGGAGATAGAGAGAGGAAATCCGACCAAGCTGAGATTGGGTTTCAACTTACTTTAATATCTAATTATAGAAATGCAATATGTGTATATATGTATGTCAGGTAGTTATTAGTTAACAGAAAGTAAACCAGTCCTCATAAACTTGGGAAGCACAGTGATAAAGATAAAGACAGTTAGTCTGTCATGATGAAAGCTGAAGACAAATTCAAGGTATTTTTGAAATTCCCTGAAGTAATGAACCCCATCAAACTCGAAGCTATGAATGAAAGCTCTGTGAGAAATACACTAGTCAAAATTTGAAGTGGATCAAAACCTTTCATCAAAGTTGTCCTAAAGTCAAAATGCATTCTTGTCTTAGGACAACTTTGATGAACTTTTTTGATCCATTTCAAATGTTGACTACTGTTATTAAATCCAAACTTTAAGGGATGCAGTCTTGTGATTGTGTGTAGGGATGGGAGACTATATATTTTTTTTTTACCAAAGCAAATTATAAATTAAATTAAATCGAAATTATAGTTTTCATTTAATCAAAATCTGAAACCAAACATAAAGTTTTGGTAATTAAACTCGGTATGCTTTTCAGGTTGTCTTGTTCATAGGTGATGAACCAGTTGTAGTAAAATTCTTTGGCAACAAGCCACTTCTCCATATTTTAGCCGAACAAATGTTACATTTTTCTACTTGAGCATCATTTTTGATCACAGCAAAGTGCGTCCACACAGCTGACATTTACCTTTTGTAGCTTATCTACGTTTTGTGTATGAAACCGACACTGACACCAGAGTCATCAGAGAAGCGCTGTTTCAGTCAACAATTTTGGACCTTCAGAACTATTTTTTAAATTTCAGTGCATCACTAATCAAAAACATACAATGCGACTGCTTTTGTAGCTGCCATTGTAGCCTGATTACCAAAATGAATGTCTCTTATGCATTAGTCTGAACCTCTGCCCTGTTTAATTTAAAGAATCAACAGATAGACAGTCTCTTTCATATGTAAATCAAAACGTTCATTATAACTGAAATGCACCCAAAATAATTGGAATCAAACAAAAAATCTGAATTAAAAACCAGTCCTACTTGACTGTAACAAAGCAGATCATTCAAAGACTAGAAGACACAAATCCTCTCACCTTTCTAGGTCAGTCTCTCTCTCCAGGCCTCTCTGGGTCAGTACTTTAATGTCCTCCTCTAGCTCTCTGATTCGCTGCTCATTAGCTTCTTTTTGAGCCAGCAGGGCTCTCTTCTCCTCTGTCAGGGCTTCACCTAAATCCTCAACTTCCTAAAAGAGAGGGGTGTGATGGTAGTGAGGTGTTTACACTAAAGCGTATCACTAAAAATCGTTTAGCAGTTAGCTTTCCGTCAGTGTGTGTGAACATATACACCACAGTAAACACAGTAAAGACAAAATATACACACAACTGTGACCCAGGGCTGACCACACAGGCTGATGGAATGAGTGTTTACAATACCTTCTGCTTCTTCTTCATCTCCTCTACTTTCTCCCTATATTCTCTCACTTCCTCCTTCAGCTCGCCGATCTTCCTTTCCAGCCCCTTGCGGCTCTGCTCCCAGGAGCTTCTGTCTCTTTCTCTCCTGCCTTTCTCTCTCTCCACGTTCTGGTCTGCTGCTTTCAAAGCCTGGAGCAGCTCAGCACGCTCCTTCAAACACTCCTGCAGACGACTCTGTTAGGGAAAACGACAGAGAAAGATAGAGATCTTAATAAAAAATACTTATGATGGAGATCCAGTTTTAAATTGGGTCTGTCAATTGATTAGAAAGTTTAATTAATTACTCTGTGGTGATTAATCAAATTAATTACATATAACAATATTTGCTGTGAAAACATGACATTATTGTGGCAGATCAAGTAATTCATTAAATACTTAAATATTCATTAATAGCATATTATTATATAATATAAATAATTATCTTAAATGTTTGTTTTTCTTACAAATGCTTAAAAAGACATTAGCTCTGCAGTCAATCACTTAAAAAGAAAGAGATATAAGACAGTAACAATTCTGACTTGGTTGGAAAGCTCAACACAGACTATTTGGCATCTAAAGCTGTTCATGTGATTTTTAAACCACACAACAAACACACACATTGTGACAATGTTAAATGGAGACTCTCTGTCTGAGGTCTGCAGCTTTCTGTGGATTAAAATATCAATACACTGGGATGTCTCTATTGCATTTTTACCCTTACTTGCACAAACAACGTCAGAGCTGTCCAAAAAAGTATGAAGAATCTATTTTATTGTATTATTGTCTACTTTTCAAACTTGCTAGGGGGAAAAAAATGATTAGATAAGTTAAAAGTTACATATAAGTGATATACACTACCGGTCAAAAGTTTGGGATTAGTAAGACTTGTAATGTTTTTTTTAAAGAAGTATCTTATGCTCATCAAGACTGCATTTATTTGATCAAAAATACAGAAAAAAACCCAGTAATCTTGCAAAATGTTATTACAATATAAAATAATGGTTTCTATTTTAATATCCTTTAAAATATAATTTATTTCTGTAATGCAAAGCTGAATTTCCATCAGCCATTACTCCAGTATAAAGTGTCACATGATCCTTACGAAATAATTCTAATATGCTGATTTATTATTAGAATCATCAATGTTGGCAACTTTTTTCAGGATCCTTTGATGAATAAAAAATTCAAAATATTCATTTATTCAAAATATAAATCTTTTCTAACATTATATATCTTTGCTATCACTTCTTAAAAATTTTACACATCCTTGCTGAATAAAAGTTTACATTTCTTTCAAAAAAAGAAAGAATAAAAATGTACTGACCCCAAACTTTAGAACTGTAGTGTATATTGTTAGAAAAGATTTCTATTTTAAATAAATGCTCTTCTTTTTAACTTTTTATTCATCAAAGAATCCTGAAAAAAAAAGGTATCACAGGTTCCAAAAAAATATTAAGCAGCACAACAGTTTCAACACTGA